TTCTGACTGGTGAACTTGTCGAGTACATGAACAGACTCGACGAGTCCACTCAACAGAGCAACTCGCCGAGTCCAGTTCATCTACTCGACGAGTTGGAGGCTCTGTGTGCAGAATTTCGAGTTTCTTGGCCTGGTTTGGATTTGGAACACTACCACAAACTCCTTTGGATCATTGGAAATGTTTTTTATGATATGGTAGTGCTTGTACTCATCCAACCACAAGATAATTGTCAAAGTTTTAAAATAGTTGTTGTTTTTTTATATGATAAACATAATTGCTTTCAAATTGTTTACTAGAAATTATCTTGATTATGAGTTTAGTTAGATCATAGATTATGTGATAGTTGTAGTTGTTAGAATAATGATCTAAATGCATTTTAATGACCTCCATAACTTGTCCTGAAGTTATGGAAAATGAAAGGTCTCTCCATTAAAATCAAATTAAACTCATAGGTTATGAATGTGAAGAGTTTTGACAAGTTTCAAAACTTGCCCTCAAGTTTTGGAATTTGTAAAGTCTCATTAAATGAAACTTTATTTCCAAACCCTAGAGTTTTAAAAGTTAAAATTCAACCCTTATACTTTATAATGTTACAAGTTTAATAATATATATATATATATATATATATTATATATATATATATATATATATAAGACAAAGTTGGTCTTACCGTTAGTAGGTCTCATTCACGAAGTCGGTCTATAAGGGGGGTATAAGGATACTGCCTATAAAATGGTAGGAAAAATGTGAAATGCTGATAATCCATGAAATTACACTTTGCACCTTGTTAAGTCGTTAGTGGAGCGTGTGTGGTTAACCGACGCACTAATCTGGGACTGACAATGTGTAGCAAAGGGTAACTTGGTGTTAATCATAGATCAATGGAGCGTGTGTGGTTAACCGGCACATTGAGTAGGTGATTTGTATCATTGGGTGTACCAAGCTAATTTGCATGGTTATTCACTCATTGTTTGTGATCCTCGGCATCCCAGTCACAAACTTGAAGGGCACAATTGAGATTTAAACATGCCATTGAAAAGATTCAATGAATCTCAAAGATCTAGGAATTTCAAATCCAATTAAAACTTAATAATCTATTTCGTTTTTCATGGTGGAAATTGGTAAATCGTCATTTATCTACCTTCAAATATTTTACAATTGGATTATGACATCTGTGACATCCCCATTTTCACGGCCAGAAAAGACCGATTTTGTTTATGCTTTGTTTAAAAATCAGAGTAACATTTTAAATAAAAGTGTTGCGGAATTTGTTCCCAAAATAAAATATGATAAAGATTTATCAAAGCATTTCCGTAGAAATTTATTTCATTAAAAACCTCGGGATGTTATGGTCGATACAGATGAAAAGCATAAACAGTACAATATAAGCCTTACTACATTTATTCATATCTACAGGCCTATATCCGTAATCTCTCATCCCAAACATCATATCTATGCTCGTGCACCACTACCTGTAATACAAGAAACTGAGTGGGTCAGGCTTGGAAGCCTGATGAGCACATAGGGTTTTCAACCCACAATAAATAAGTTTATTAATTTCATCAACCAACAATAACCCGATTACTCGTTCCCGTTATCCTCACTTTACGTCCCTAAACACTATCATAAGGGACCTAGCCTAAGGATCATCATCGGGATGGACACTATTGCTAAGGGGGTTCCTCGGCAATAAATGTCCTAAAGGCAACCATGAGGGGGATGGAGTACACCGGTGAACACATCGTTCACAAAAACCTACAGGTTGCGAGCCTGCTAGCATTCCACTGGACTGTCTAGAAGAGTTTGTGGTTGTCATCCATACTCCGCTAGATGACAGAATCAACAACAACATCAAGGCCTCTCATCATTTTATCACACATCGTCTATTACATCTACCCATGTTTTACCCCAACATTTTGTAGATATAAAATACATATACAGTTTAAATCATTTAAAACATGTATAAAAATCTTTCATCAGCATAAATAGCAAGTATTCAGACAATATGCACACATAGCATGTAATTTATATTAAATACTTCATATCTATGTGTAAGATGAAAGTGACTATGCACTCACGTGAAAAGGTGGTGACTCTGCACTCGGACAGCGCTTCGTTACTCTTAAAACAATTTTCCTCGACAAAACCTAGTATCAATATTACTAGGGTTTAGTCTAGTGTTAACCGCGACTAATTAATAGTCTAGCTATATTACTATTATATAAGCGCGACACAATACTCTCCACCCACTATGTACAGACAGGTCCAAACATGGAACACCGGAAGGCGGGATCATTTTGGCATATAAGCACTTCTGAATCCAGCAACCCAAGCGGCCCTCCAAACCAGATTCCCCGTACCGCAAATGGTTAAAAAGATATTATAACAACACTTATATAACCCATAATAATAGCCCAATAATTATTATAAGGTCCTATTAACATTACTATATTTAAATAAAAGCTATATTAAATATAGTATTGGCGTAGCTCACTTACAGCGGGTTTTTATTAAAAACCGGGCTTCGCTGGAGCAGCATTTCCGAGCCGAAAGCTTTTCTTCTCGGAGCCGTTGGGCGCTCCAGGGCTTCCTTCTCGTGCTAGGGAGGTTCCCTAGACTTGGGAGGGGTTTAGGGAGGCTAGAGAGAAGTTAGAGAGAGAAAGAAAGGCTTATGGTGTGAAGAAAATATGAAGAGTTCACCCTTTATTTATTGGGATTTTATAGTAAAGTAGCCCATAATTTCGTCTGTATCTTCCGCGCACGAGCTCCGTTTTCTACGTTATTTATATCCACGCGTTGGTATTTACGAGTACTACAACTTTCATTTAGACCCCGTCGGCTAATTCTCCTTCTATCTCAGATTTACAAAAGTTGTATCGTATTTATCGTGCACGAAGAGTAGCGACTAAGCTTCGTCCATATCTTTCGCATACGAGCTCCGTTTCCGACGTTATTTATATCCACGCATTGGTATTTACGAGTACTACAACTTTCATTTAGACCTCGTTGGCTAATTCTCATTCTATCTCGGATTTACAAAACTGTATCGAATTCGCCGCGCTCGAAAAGTAGAGACTAAGCTTCGTCCATAACTTTCGCATACGAGCTCCGTTTTTAACGTTATTTATATCCACGCGTAGGTAAAAATAAAATCTACAACTTCCTTTTTACTCCGTCGGCTAATTCTCGACCGATCTTAAATTTAACAGTAGGAGGTGATTACACTGTTAAATATCCGCGTAAAATTCATAACTTTTACATACAGACTTCGTTTTCGTCTGTCTTTTTGTCGTTGAGTTCCTATTAATGAGATCTTCAACTCTCATTTAGGTCGCGTAAGCCAAAAACCGCTCAAACTAAAATTCGAGTTTCGGGTCGTGCACTGTTATGCCAAATCTTAGAAAAATCATAACTTCCTCATATGAAGTCAGATTTGGGCGTTCTTTATATCCCCGGAATCCTTGTTTCGACCACCACCACTTTATGTAAAGATATCGGGTTTATCTCACACTTTAATTTTGACGCTTATTTTTATTCTTTATTAATTATACATTTATAATTAAGTATAAAGCACACAAATTCACATAATTCACATAATACTCAAATAATTCATTTTTGTTACTTCAAAAAGAGTTACAATAGTTGACCTAGACTATTACATCATCTATTAATGCTTAGCCCCGAAACCCGGGCGTTACAGCATCCCTCTTCGCAATTGTAGAATATTGTGTTGGGTCCTAGTCTTAATATTTCATGTTGGGTGTAATATTAAGGATTATCATCTAAACTAAACTTCGTTCTTCTTCTTTTACAGATGTCTGTCCCAAACAATGCTTCCAACCCAATCCCTTCAGGCTCTTTCTCCCTCATGAACCTATGTGGGAGGGTCATTTTCGATGGCTCAAAGAGATTTATGTCACCATTGCTACCCCTGAACAAATCGCTGAACACACTACTCATGAGAGGGATGCGACTAAGGTGTCGTGTCTAATGATTGCAACCATGACCGCTGAGCTGTAGAAGTCCTATGAGGACTACTATCCCTATGAAATGTATCATGATTTGATGGAAAGATACCATTAAAGTGATCGGCAGGAGAGGTATGAGATCATTGCCTCCATGATCACAACCAAAATGAAGGATGGTGAACCCATCATGGCCCACTTGTAAAAGATGCAGAGATTTATGGACCGCTTGCTAAAATTGAATGTCAATTTTGATGAAGAGTTGGTCATAGATATAATTTTACACTTTTTACCTCCTTATTATGATCAGTTTCATATGACTTATCATATGAACAAGGAGGAGGTCACTCTTAGCAAGCACTAGTACAAAAATGACCTACGGACACACCATAAAAGTGTGACCATATGCTTACAGCGACATTTTATTTTTTCACTGAAAGTGTGACGGAAGGTGACGCCATCGTATGGGTCTTATGGTCACTTTAAAATGTAGTGTCCATATGATATGAAAAAGTGTGGTCGTATTATAAAAGTGTGGCTATTGGGTAGGGAATTTTGTTGCTAAAATCAATCATTTTATCCAATATTGTGGCGTTAAACTTTCATTAGACACATTTATTTAGTAATTGTAGTGACTATATATAACCAACTTGCGACATGCATGTTGTTTCAGTGTACCCTTTTACTAATAAATAGTCACATAGTTTAAAGTTTATTAAGACTATTGGGTATCTTTTGCAGACATGTAATTATGATGAACATGACCATGTTCGTTAAATGGTCACACATGTAATTAATTTCATAAGTGGCGATTTGCTAATAATTAGTCACAAAAAGAATCAATTTTGGTGACTATTGCATATCGTATAGAGACACACATTTAAGTGAAACATGATCATAAGTATTATAAAGACACATTTTATTAAAACTAGAGGGGAATCATACACGCCGTTGGCGCTGTGTTTGTTTTTTTTCCTTATTTCAAGTTGTACCAAATGGTAGAACATAATATAATATTAATGAAAACATATTACATATACAGAAAGGGTCTTCATATGACAAACAAATCATTGAAAGTATGTTGTTATTTAGTGTATTTTACCCTAGAAAAGAACCCAAAAAGTAAAAATGTTTTGAGATGATTTACCTATTATATTTAATTGCTTGCAGATATGGTGAAACCAACGACTAAAGATGGAGATCAGAGAAAAAATCCAATAATAAACGGACTTCAAAAATTTGCCATGAACTTCTCCATACAGCCACTTTCTGCCATCGGGGGATTGCACCAACTTCATGTTCTGTTGAACAACCTGGTTAGGGATCAAATACATCCACTGAAATAATCAAAATTCCGGAAATTTATTTCTTAAAAAATTAGAGAAAATATTACAAACAATAGAGAATTAATAAGAAAACCACCTGAATGAGCCCCTGGTCCAGATAACTTCAATGGTCCTTTTTTCAGTCCTGGTAGTATATGAAAACATTTGTTGATTTTTTTTCTATATGAGTATGCATGTTAGATAACTCATTGGTTGTTTTTTTTATAAATAAGATGATAAATGCTAAATGCAAGAAACAACAATGAAATTTTATTTATTTATCAATCATAAAAAGGAAAGAAATCATGAATGCTGCTATAATACTGAAAGATATGAAAGTATATTGCTATTTGGTGGATGTTGTCCTAATATCCAAATCTCATTGACCAAGATACAGTGCATACATGGGCTCTAAAACTCTCGCCAGATTCCCTGACCCAGAAAGATGGCCAAGGGGCATCCATTTTAATAGTTTTATGATGAGCATAAATCATGACAGATGCACGAAAAAGAAAAAAAAACGGGGCTCAAGAATCTTTTTACCAAATTTGGATCAACAATTGTTGAATCAGATTATTGGTCTTTTCAAATAAAGAAAATGGTTATTGTCAAACTTAAGAATGAGACAATTGACATTAAATAGTCAAACCTGGGCCTAGATTGTACATAAAGTTGAAACAACTTGGAAAACCATTCCTTACCAAAGAACCCTCCTACCGGTACAAGTAATGGTTTTGGATGGAACTATGTATGAATTTTCAATTATACCCCTGACCTCAATTACATCACATACTCATCAGCATCAAGCATTACACCAACACCCTTGCCACTTAACTTATTTCCTGCGACATTCAACAATAGGATATTTATCTCTGTAGCAAAAAAAATGACAAAAATAAAACATATATTAAACATGCAATATATTATAACTCACCTCAGACACGATTGAATCAATTGTCATCTTAGTAAGTAGCATGAGGAAACAACTTTAAAATGTGAAATAATTATTCAAGGTTTTTTATATTTTAGTCTGAATCAATTGTCTTAATAATTAAACGACTATTTTACCCTTATAACGTATAGGTCTATTATTCGTACAATTTAATGAATATGTGATTGTGACACAATTTGTGCCAAAACCTCATTCAAAATCATTATGGACTATAATCTTCTTTATCCCGGCATTAAGTACAATTCATTATTAAAAAAACTAATGCAAACATACCAATGTATTTCTATTGTACAACATTGCACTATAAATTCCCATGTATATGGATATTTATGATCCTCAAAATAGATAAAACATAGAATAAAAAAAAAACATATTTAAGTAATGTTGAAGTTAAGTATATTTTTAACATTTAAACTACCCGGGTTGTCCAACGTACTACGGGCGTTGTGATGCAGAAAAATGTTGCATCTATTTAGTTGGAGCTCCATTTGTCTAAAACAACATGTAAATAAAGAGTATAAAAACAGTTAATAAACATATTGAAAATAGAAAAATTAATAAATAAAAGAGCATTTACAACAAAATTAGACTTGCTTTAAGAAAAAATAGGCTTTATTCAAATCCAAATCTTGAAATGATGAAATAAAGGGAAGAGTCAGGACCTGAGGTTGACTTTGTCATGGTATAATGAAAAGTACCCTCATTAGATGTAGCACAGTAGCAGCACACCTTATGGTAACACAAAAATATAACATCATAGTTATATACAATATAAATGCAGAAAAAAAAAGTAAATTTATATTGATAAACAACATTTATATACCACATCAATAGGAAATAACCTCAACTTGATAAACCGCATCAAATCTATATAGACACGAAACAGAGAGTGGTTTAGTACAACATATCAGGTGCATACTCTAACTATGAAACCCTTCAACATTATTGTTATAAGTTTTATATCTTAATATTTTCTTTTCTATCATTCAAATCGGTTAAACATGCCCATTCAGTCAGCTCTCCTAAGCCTCAATGTAAAAAAAAACTTTTTATTTGTTTATCCTTCGTACCTAATCAATACGATAGTTTGAATCAGAATCGGACCTTTATCTTACCGTGTTACAACATCTGGTAAGGAAGGATAAGTCCGTATTGAAAGGTCTAAAATACCCTGCAACCAAAGATCCATGTTATAATAAAGAATAAAGAAATAGGTAGTACATTATACGACACATATAAGCAAATAAAATCAGCAATGGCAATAAAAGAAACCAAGTCAACAATGGCAATAAGCAACAACTTCGCTATTTTCCTGTGCATCTATTGATATCAAGAAGCTAATCTGGAAAACTTCTATTTTTTCAAAACTTTCTAACAATAGTCACCTTGTCTCTATCTATTTGATTAAAGGATATGAACCTCATGAAGTACTTAATCCGAATTCATATTCACCAATTGAAGGATGGCTAGTTATTGCAACTTCTTTAGAAGCTTCCGTAGTTTGATCTGCATCATATGAATAGATAACAATCATAATACAAAAACATCGTGTCTTTTTTATAGTTCAACCTAAAAGTTACAAAAAAAAAAAAATACCTGGAGAAGTGGTTGCACTGATCTATTTGGATGCATAACGATACCTTATTGAAGGAGAAGGGGGTTAAAACGATGTTGATATGTGAAAAATTTGAGATCTGTTGAAAAAGCTTGCAATCCAATCTTACAGCAATTCCTCCACATCACCTAAAGCCAATTTCAACATGTTTACACCAACAATATACAAATACAAAAAAAAAAAAAAAAAACAAAAAAAACAAAAAAATGAAAGTTGAGTCGGCAGACTCACCGTCGAAGGTTGTGAAGGAGACGGTGGACGTCAACACCTGCGTCTGGCCTGACACGTCGACAGACACCACTCCTTTTTCTGAGAAATCGATGACACCTACAAACCCATATCGCAATATACAAATGTGAAATACCGGTCAATTGTTTCAGAGGGGAACAAATACATGAAGAGATAGATGAATAACAAATACAATTCAACCTCTTCTTCCTCTTGTTCTTCAGATTGATCACCGAAAAAAATTTGCACCATCAGATGCCTTTTCTCTTCCCCCACCATTCTTTTCCCTGTTGGCGGCCAGAGGTAGAGAACAAACCTACAAAAGAAACAGAGAGAACGACCGACAATAAGAACACGACAGCAGAAGACGAAGGAAGAAGCAAACGGAAATTAGAAGACAACGTCTACAATATCTTTAAGGCGGTGGAAATTGGGATTTCAAGAACGTCAAAGATCAATAAAGAACAAACAGAAGATAAAAAGTTGAGATGTGAATTATGTGAAACTGTTTTTTACTCCTAATTATAGAAAGAAAAGTAAAAAACTTTCACCTCAGACTTTGGCTGCAGGATCTGCATTATGTTGAAAGTTTCAGCTCTAAGCATGTCTTCAGCTATAACCCATGGCCTATGGGAAAATAAGTGATTTGAATTGCTTATAAATTCAGTAAATGAAAGCAGAAAATTAAGTAATGGTTACCTTCCAGAAAAAGTAGATATAATAAAGTGATTTGGATTGCTTATAAATTCATGCATCCTCTTCAGCTTTTGTTTGCTATCCACAATAATTACTCCTCTTGCATATGGTTCAATTGACAGGCTTTGAAAAACATAAGTATGTGTTGCGATTGAAGCTTGTTCATAAATGAAGTCTTTCATCAAGACTGGAGATAGATCTTTCTCCAGATTCTCTAATATTATGAAATGATGAGATTCAGTTTCTTTGACACCTCCCATGTCTCTGTCCTGATCAATTAGTTCAGTCTTGAATCTTCCCTTTTCTATCCTTGCAAAAAACAGATTATAATAAGTTCTGAAACCACTGAGATTTGAAAGATGGAAATTTAAAAAGGATTCAAACCTTCAGAGAAACCACCAAAACAGTTGTCTACATCACCACTGAATTCCTACAAATCAAGGAAAGAACCCTTTACAGATTATTACAAGAAATCAAAAACTGCAAGAGAAAATGTTGTGCACTGAAGAACTTACCTGTAACAAAGCAGGTTCCCATTCTTCCGTTCCCTCTGACCAGAAGCAGCAACGACAAAGTTGCTGCGTTTTTCCCCTTTCCGGTCTTCTCCTGTCGATATCTCCCTCTTCGATCTCATCGACCAACTCTGTCTTCTGGTTGAGGTTTGAAGCAGAAAAGCATCTTCTCTCTGTCGGTTCTTCGTAAAGGAGTCTCTTTTCTACATCGGAGAGGGGAACGACGTCGGAGGAAGGGTGGAGGAAGGCTGAGGGAGGCAAGGTCGGCGGTGGTGTAGAAAACCAAAAACGAAAGAAAGGGCATCGGTACCTGGCTGATTAGACCATAGTCAACCATATGGTGAACAAACCAATTTCTAGGGTTCAGATCGACTGCTACCTGTTTGTTGAAACCAAATAATTAAAAGCCAACATAAAACGAAATTGGAAGAAACTGAAATAGTGAGGAGTAGTAGAAGTCGACCTCATCGTTCGATTGGAAGGCTGTCGGAGGAAGGCTGAGGGAAGCAAGGTCAGCGACGGTGTGTTGATGGAGGTGAGAATGAAAATTAAGAGGGAAAATGGAGTTGAGGGCAAAAATGTTGGAGTCGGTGTAATGGAGTCAGTGGAGGCAGCAACCGGCTTTGAGGAAGAGAATATAAGGATGGGAAAAGGTATGGCGGTGTGTGCGAAACAAAGATAAATAGAACTTTCAGTGTCAAAATAACGAAAAAGAAAACTTCCGTGTCCAAATATAAAAGAGAAAAAAAGTTACTGTTCTTCAAGTTTTTTACAATTAATAGTATATATAATTACGGATTTAATATTAGTTTACGACCATATTTGTATTATTTTTCATGACTGATGTTATCATTCAGACATATAAAACATTATAACTATGACTATTTTCTATCATTTTGACATAGAGAATCAATTGCAAAATAATTGTAATTGATTTATGGATACAAAGTTGTTGAAAGTGTGACCAAGATTCCAATTATTACAATAAAAAGTGGTTATTAGTATATCCTATTTTATCATTTAGACACGAAAACATTGTTGATTGTGACTATTGTTTGTATTACAATCATAGAAAGTAATTTAAATTGTAGTCATTAGTGTTCTGTCAACACACACAATATAGATGAAACGAGAAAAAGAAATCGATATTGTTAATAATTGAAATGCAAATCGATACATAAGATCCCTAATTAAAATATCAAAAAAAAAACTTATACTAATAAAAAGTTGTAAAGAAAGCAATAACGTGGTACACCAAAAAATAGATATAACTACACTTTTATTTTGTTGGTATTGTTCCTTGTCTTCTTGAGAAGGCTATCACTCAATATAAAAGTTGTTTTGCGCTTCTTTGAGTTTTGAAGTTCATTGTCTTGAGGTGATTTCATATTTGGTACCTATACCAACAACATTGAAACAAACTTAAGTAAATAAAAAACTTAATAGAATAGTTTATAAAAGAAAAAAAAAGTGTAATGCACATGCAAGTTAACAGAAATAAACAAACCTTTGAATGTTTCACAAGTTATTTTAGCAATGAGACAAAAGTTTTATATGTCTACTCAAATGTTTTTATTTCTCTAATTTCATGGGTATAAATGAATCTTTTTTTTACCATTTCATCAATGCACACTTTATAGCAGTCACCTTGCAGAGGAACTTCATGAAAGAATTGTCTTTACTACAAATATAAATATGAAAATTGTTGAATTAAAATACCTGAAACATCGACATCCACTATATCGCTACCAGAGTGCAGTAGATAAATCATCGGGCATTATGTTCATGATAAAGGCTAATTTGGGAGAAGATGTCAAATATCAGAATGAGCAACACCAGTCTGTAGGTCTACCATGCCCTGGGCAAAGAGGCTATATAATGCCCCTACTTTGTAGGAAAAATATACACAACGTATATAAAACATAGCAAATAATGTCATAATTAATACATAAATAAATCAAAGTTAGTTGATATTTCTTGCATTAAGCCATTCACAACATACTCATTGTTCTTGGAGACATTCTTAAAATTTTCTAGAGATCGACTGTCGAATACAAGAATAAACTAGAAATTTTTGTACAAACCATACCTTCAATCTCATACACAAAACATAAAATAGCCACCTTTTACTCCCAAACACTTCTACAAAAATGCAAATACATCAATTATATAATATTGCCAAAAATTAAATCAACTTGATAAATATTGGAGATCAAAATCTAAAAATTTACTTTCTTTACCGCTCATGAGGAGAAGAGCAACTTACTTGTAATTCCTGTAGATAAAGTTGAATGATCTCCTGCAATTATGATTTGATCTGTTAAAACAAAGTATAAGAGAAGTGTAACTTAAGTTGTGGGAATTCAAAGTTGTCAACAAATAATATAAGAAGCCTTAACTAATCAAGCCTCTAAACCAACACTTTAACAATGATGAAGATCCACAACTAATTAAACTTAGGTCTGACAGCATATTTAAAGTCCTAATAAGACAGAATAGCATCCAGGGGAAAAATGTCCCAGTCCTGGGTAAAATGAGATCCACAATGAGCATTTACCGGTTGTAGTTTTGTATGTGGTGAATCTTCAACAACAACTCCAGAAAATCGGAATCAAAAACCAACACTACACCCAAGTTAGACTTCATTATGGGTAAAATTAAAATCCTAAATAAATAATGAACTACTGATAAAAACCATTTCAAAAAACATAATCTAATATCATACTTACTTGATAGGCGGTAGCGACATCTGGACACTGTTTAGGCAAAGTACCATGAGTTAATTCAATCTTGTTCTTGACTGAAAGTGGGATCAACATAACTATACTCCATCAACCATAATTTTCATCAGTGAGGATTTAAATTTGTTCCAATTATTGGAATAAAGGAGATAAAATGGATCGTTACCAGTATTTAGATCTTTTGTAGGGTGAACCGTCTCGGAAGACATAAGTTTGTGGTCCTACACATTCTCGTCTAATACAATCACCGAAAAATAAGCTTTCTATTTGGGATCGGTGACGATAAGGGCTAATGGACGATATGGCGGAGTCGTGGTGGAGAGCGGAGAAGAATCAAAGACCTCATGAGAGAACGACGAAAGCATGAACCCCAAAAACATGAACCCTAGCTGTTGAAAACGTGTTCGGGTAATAGGAATTAGGAACGTGAGCGGATGGGATGAGGTTTTCAATATTCACGAAATATTCAATTTTGAATTTTTTGATTTACTTCATTTTTTAAGTTTTGAAAATTTTTAAATTTCGAATATATATAAGAAATTAAGAATTATCCTAAACTTAATATAAAATTTAATCTTAATAATCTATTTCTTCAAAATAAAAATATCAATATATTAGTTGAAAATGTATATGTGTGCGTATTGGATGTACATGCACATTATGGCCTCGTTTGTTTTTCTACAAAAGTACTTTATGAGCACTTTTCCATTATGGCGGGTAGACGTTTCTCAAGTGCACATCTTCTTCGGCAAACATGGAAAAACACAAAAGACATTTAACCACTTCCAAAACAAACAACACCTATAATTTTTAAATAATAATTAATTTGTATGGTGTATATATATATATATATATATATATATATATATATATATATATATGTTTTAGGGTTTAGGCTGTATGGTTTAAATGTTTAGTGTTTAGGGCCTACGTCATAAGCATTAAGACCTAAGTCAACGACCATAAGTCATAAGTTATAGGCCATGAACCCTAATCTGTAAGCCCTAAGCCATAAGTTATAGGGTGTATGGGTGTATGATGTGGAGGTGTAGGTGTGTTAAAGGTAGGGTTGGTTCGGTGAAGGTATGTTCTTGTGGGAATGGACAGGTAGGTATGGGTGTATGTATAAGGGTAGGTATGTTAGTAGGTGGGGGTGGTGTAGATTATATAGGGTGAGGGTATGTGAGCATGGGAGTGTAGTTATGGATGCGAGGCGAGGTGGGTGTTATGGGTATGGGTGGGGGTAGAGTTTGGTATATGGGTGGGTGGGTGTGATGTGTGGAGGTTGGTGATGTGGAAGTGGGCTATGGTGGGAATCAGTGTGGGCTTCTGAGAATAAGCCTTAAGCCGTAAGCCGTAAGCCTTAAGAATTAAGCTATAAGTTATAAATCATCCGCCTAATCTCTAAGCCATAACCATTAACCATAAGCCATAAGTTATAAGTCATAAGACATAAGACATAAAACATAAACCATAAGCCATAAGCACTTATCTCTAAGCCTTAAGCCCTTAGCCCTAAGCCTTATGACCTAAGCTTTAAACTCTAAGGCATACGCCCTAAGCCATAAGTCATAATCCATAATCCCTAATCCATAAGCCTAAGTCGTAAGCATAATCCTTGATATGTAAGTCATAAGCACTAAGCTCTAAGTCATAACTAATAACTCATAACGTAACATCCAGGTTCAAAATGTTTCTTATTTCGAAATATAAAGCTTTCATCTTTATGTATTTATCTTAAGGATCTAAGTTTTGGATAAACTTTTGATCATTTTTTCCCAAACCCTTATTTTTCTTGGAGTTTTTTGAAGTTCATAGCTTTTTATGTTGTTTTATGCTTCTTGACATTTATTGTGGGGGAAATTGGGCCATGCGTGGGTTCTTTTGAGTCCATGTACAAGTTATGACCTTTTATGGACTTAATGGAATTAGGGTTTGAGATTTAGAGTTATTAAGACCTTAGGGTGGATAAATTTAGAAACTTTATCCATTGGGTCATTGGAATTAGAGCTGGGAAAAATCGACCCAACCCACCAACCCAACCCGAACCCAACCCAAAATTAGCGGGTTGGGTTGAGATATTTAACCTATTTAACTTAAATTGGGTCAACCCGTCTAACCCATTTAATCAAATAGGTTGCATGGGTAAAAATTATCAACCCATTTTCAACTCGTCAACCCATTTAACTTTAATATATATATATATATATATATATATATATATATATATATAATTTAATATTATTTAAATATTATCATGTATTAATCAAAGTATTAAATTGTAAATTATAATGTTGCATTATTATTATCTATGTTTAATAAAATGTAATCCTAATTTCCATCATTTTTTTAGCACCGATAATACTGGTTACTCTCCAAAATCACAATGAAACTAAACATTTTTAATGTTATTTGAACAATTTATTTGTATTTATGAATTATGATTGTGCTTTTGTCATAATTATGAAGTTTTATTTACGTTTTATAATATAATTGGTATAATATTTAATTATATAATTTATTTAATTGATTTTAAATGGGTTAACCCAAGTTTAACCCATTTATTTAATAGGTTGGGTCAGAAACTACATAAATAGGTCAACCCGGTGACAACCCATTTATCTAAAAGATTGGGTTGGGTTGGAAATATCAACCCATTTAAATAAACAGGTTAAGTTGGGTTCAAATTTTCAAACCAATTATTAAATGGGTTGAACTCGAACCCAACCTAGGTCGACCCATTGCCACCTCTAATTGGAATGATTCAGATCTGAAGAGCCAAGGCATGATCTGTAGGGATTAAGCCCTTTTGGAGTTGGATTCTGCCAGAGGAACCACAACACAATGGTTAGGCTTTCGCGACGTGGTTACGCGTTACATTTGCGTTTGTTTTGTCTGGTAGCGACCATGGCATGGCCAAGAACTCGGGGTTGATATGGGTCCGTTCGATTGAAATACATCGATTAAGTTGATACAGACTTGTGCCAAAAACACCCATAAAGTGGTAGTCAAACAAACTTTTGGAAAAATATAGTGTTTTTTTTATTAAAACTGGTTCTAATAGGCAATAGTGGCCGCGTAGAAACATTTTACCAAAAATTGGTGGCTTTTCCAAAACTTATTAAAAATTAATTATTAAACCGAACTTTTGAAAAAATATAATGTTTTTTCTATAATTAGTCTTAACTAAATGTATCAAAGAAAAACTTACTTTTTCCCTCCTAATTTTATCCTACATGTACAAAAAATTTTGTTTTGCCTAAATTACATAATATAGGCTCCAAATATAAATTTTTGGGTTCCTTCCAACTTCCAAGTAAAAGATTTGGGTTTTTCTCCTAATTAACTAAGTTGGCCCATGAATTGTCTTTTACTCTCCTATTCCCACGCCAAAGTAAAACATCACTCTCAAACATGTGAGTCAGAGCCCTATCCCTTGTTCGTTATCGCCACACCCTCAAAGCTTTCTGCACACTGTTGGCCTACGTCCTTTGTTGGTTCATCGTTGGAGCTTCACTATTCCTAGATGTCATACCTTTTGGTTCCCCCTAATAGTCTGAGAGGCGCTTCATTGAAGTAGGATGTCATGCCGATATCGTTAAACCCTAATAACTAATCCCAAACCAATCAATTGGAATCCCCAAATTACAAACGTAACTCTTACTAGTTAAAGATTCTCCTATCTCTTAGTTTCAATTCCCACTTACAGTTAAAAAATAGGAATTATCAAATTATATTATGTTTCTATCTCGAATGATAACTTGATTGACTTTCACTCTCTATCAAAATGCAAAGTTGGAACTCCAGACCTCATGGTCTCACCTATGTCAAGACCTCCTTTGCAGGTATTTACACTATTCAATCTAATAACTCATCACATGCTAATTCTTGGGTCCTGGATACAGGTTGTGGTATTCACATTTGTTCTGATTTGCAGGGACTAAAAAGAAGTAGGGATGTGGAGCACAGGAAGATAAACTTAATCATGCTAAATAGGAAAGTGTCGCATGTGACCAAGATTGGAGTTTATTCTTTATTGCTTAGTAATGGTTTAAATTTAGATTTGAATAATTGTTGTTACTCGGACGATATGGTGAGAAATGTTATTTCCTTTCACAGTTTGTATAAACAAGGTTTTACCTTTTCCTTTAATAATGAAAATGGCGGTATTTATGCTTATTGTAATGGTGTATTTTATTTTGAAGCATTACCTTGCAATGGTATATATGAAACTATGATGATTGTAGATAACTTAGGAAATAATGTGTTGAATATTGATTCTTCCAATGAATTGGATAAAGCATGCTTGTGGCATTGTCGTCTTGGACATGTCAACAAGAAGTGCATAGCCCAACTCCAAAAGGATGGAGTTTTTTAGTCATTCGACTTAAGGTCGGATGACACTTGCGAATCTTGTTTACTTGGAAAGATGACCAAGTCACCTTTCACTGGTACTTGTGAGAGGGATGAAGGTCTGTTGGATCTCATACACACTGATGTATGTGGACCATTTAGAGCCGCCACAAGGGATGCTAACCGCTTCTATGTGACTTTTACTGATGATTATAGTAAATTTGGGTATATTTACTTAATCAAGTATAAGTCAGAAACCTTTGAAAAGTTCAAAGAGTTTAAGCAAGAAGTGGAAAATCAATTGGGCAGGAAGATAAAGATGTTGCGATCCGATCGTGGAGGAGAGTATCTTAGTATCGAGTTCCTTAACTATCTTAAGGAATGTGGAATTGTTTCACAATTGACACCACCTAGGACACCACAATTTAATGGTGTGGCTGAGAGGCGCAATAGAACCTTGCTAGACATGGTTCGTTCCATGATGAGTCGAGCTTCGTTACCTATCTCATTCTGGGGGTATGCCTTAGAGACTGCCGCCCATATCCTTAATCTAGTCCTTACCAAAAAGGTTTCCAAAACACCTCATGAGATGTGGACAGGGAAAGTTCCCACATTAGATCACATCAAAGTTTAGGGTTGCGAGGCTTTTGTGAGAAAAGAAACTCACGACAAGCTCGAACCTCGGAGTGAGCGATGTATTTTCATCGTCTAGCCACATAAATCATTTGGATATCTCTTCTACAGACCGAGTGACAATGTTGTCTTCGTTGCGAGGAGAGGAGTATTTCGTGAGAGAGAACTCATAGGCCAAGGAAACAGTGGGAGGCAAATTGACCTTGAAGAGCTTCAAGAGTCA